GAATGACTTAATGAAAGAAAAACGAAGCAAAAAAAATCCAAACACACTTATATACACGGACTGGTATGAATACACCGACTGGTATAAATATACTGACTGGTATGAAAGGAACACAATTATATACACTGACTGGTATGAATACCCTGAGTGGTATGAATACACTAACTGGTATGAATACACACTTATATACACTGACTGGTATGAATACCTTGACTGGCATGAATACACACTCACATACACCGAGGAGTTGACTCGAGTGGTGGAGAAGACAGAATCTCTAACTCGACTATGCCCCTAATTCATTACCTTGATTTTTTTATTTTTTTATTTTTGATTTTTCATAAAAATGTTTTGATCAACATGACAGTTAGATTAGCATACTTATTCCATTTTCTGTTTCAAATCATGTAAGCTAAACTGTGAGCACTGAAAATTTTCCATTTTCAAATCCAAAGAATGGTCTAAGTTTTACAAAAATGGAACAATTTTTGAGAAAAAATTAGTCAACTTCATTCAAATTAATCAAAACCAAATGGAACAATTTTTGAGAAAAATTAGTCAGCTTCATTCAAATTAATCAAAACCTATTTTTACAAATAGCCACTGCTCAACTAACATGGAATCAACCATTGGGGTGCATAGTCCCAAACCAGATCATCAAAGGTGATATCTGAACCAAGCCAACCGAACCAAGCCAATCCGAACCGAATGAAGTCGAGCAAAACTGGACCAGACTGAACCGAACCACCAAATCGAATCGAACCAAACTGAACCAAGTTAAATCAAACCAATTGATCTGAGCAGAACGAAGATACACCAATCAAACATGAATAGGACAACCAAGTCGACTAAAGACACACCAAGCAAACATGGACGAGATGAATGAGTTGAAAAATTATTGGGGCCGAACTTCAAGATGAAGCTACCTACCTATCCCAAAGATAGGAATCAGGCCATCGTAGTTCCGGTTGGGGGTCACTCTGGTATTGACACTCTCCTTTTGTGCTCTAACTTTTGCCAAAGCCGCCCTTTCGGGTTTTCAACCTTGCGAGCTTTTCATTTTTTCATTTTTCCATTTTTTTCATTTTGTTCATTTCTTTTTTTTTGTTTTTCATTATTTTTTTTTTGATTTTTTTTTTTCTGCTCTAAATCATTTTGTTCATTTCTTTTTTTTTGTTTTTCATTATTTTTTGTTTTTTTGATTTTTTTTCTGCTCTAAATTCTGCTTGGTCGCCCTTCCAGGTTTTCAACCCAACGAGCCTCTCAAGGATGGTACTTTTATTTTAGCTTGTCCATGTTGATTGGGTGTGAAATCTCTAGGCCAATGACTGCTACACTTGACCAGTAGATATGATGATGTAGGGACTAGGCTAATTGGGTTTGAATTTGCCCCTAGTGTAATGGATAGGAACTCGACTGTCCTTCAATAATAAAATTCATTCTCTCAAATTCTGGGTTTTGCCTTTCTGGGTGATCTTCATTGGGAAACGATTCAGTTTTAACTCTTTGATCACATCCAACCTTTTGCCCCTAGTTCAAGGATTGCTTCAAATCTTAAATCACATCCGACCTTCTTGCCCCTGATTCAAGGGCTGTTTCCAATCTGAATCACAAGCCCTACATAGTTTTGGCTAAGGTTCACTTGGGTATTGACATTCTCATTTTACGCTCTAACTTTTGCCAAAGCCGCCCTTTCGGGTTTTCAACCTTGCGAGCTTTTCATTTTTCTTTTTATTTTTCCTTCTTTTTTTTATTTATTATTATTATTATTATTTTTTGTGCTCTAACTTTTGCCTAGGTCGCCCTTTCGGGTTTTCGGCCCAGCGAGCCTCTTAAGGGTGGTACCTTATTGCCCCTAGTTCAAGGGCTACCTCCATTTCAGCTATGTAAGCCTCATACTTTTGCCCCTAGTTCAAGGGCTGTTTCAAATCTGAATCACATTCGACCTTCTTGCCCCTAGTTGAAGGGCTGCCTCCATTTGAATCACATCATGGCCCCTAATTCAAGGGATATTTCCAATTCGGTTACGCAAGCCTCTGGATCACATCATTGCCCCTAGTTCAAGGGCTATTTCCAATCTAAATCATATTCGACCTTATTGCCCCTAGTTGAAGGGCCGCCCCCATTTGAATCACATCATGGCCCCTAGTTCAAGGGCTATTTCCAATTCGGCTATGCAAGCCTTACACTTTGAATGATCATTGAATACTTCGAATCAAGGTTTGAAAGCTAAGGAGCTAAGGAGGTCGGACCATGAGTCAAGAGGGATCCCATGCTGTATAATCAATTCCAGGCATGTCTTCGTAGGACCACGCAAAAACAGTTTTTTGAAATCTTTTCACAAAGTGACTAATCACTCGTACTCTTACGAAGATAAGATAGAACCAATTTGGACCAAGATAGGATCATTCTCAGTACCCACATTAACAAAAATGATTTTATTCATCAAAGGCTTAGCACACCTCTCTTCTTCTCAGTTGATCAAAATTTGCAAATCCCGAGGAAATTCTTCCTCTTTGTTTTCATCAGAGTTTTGGAAAATATTTTGAAAACTTTGGTCAATGCAATGAATTAAGGCACAGAGAAGTAGGCAGACTCTATGGCATTTTATTTTTTTGTTTTTTCTGTTTATTGAAAAGAGACTATGACTCAGCAATGACAACAGACTTTTGACAACATACTCAAAAGAAAATGACAAAGAGAACCTAGACAGAACAGAAATGTCTAGGTTAGCACTATCGAAATCAACAGACTCTGACTTATTAGGCTGACTCGAGCCTGACTCTAACTCTACAAACTTGGTGGAGTCAAACTTACACTCAATACTCAATTCAGAACTCAGAATAAAACCATTCTCAATTTTGCTAGTCAAAGTGTGGACCAGCCACAACATTCAAAATAAATTGCTAGTCAAAGTGTGGGCCAGCCACAACATTCAAAATAAAGCTCATGCAATCAACAGGTGGTCACTCCCCAATCACAGAGATGGTCGACTTTGTGGGATATCGACATTTTTTTTTTTAACAAAATTTTTTTTTTGATTTTATGTTTTTGTTATTTTTTTGTTTTTGAAGTAATGGTGCTAAACTGAACAGCCTGAGCCACTCATTCGAATTTGAGAACTCCTGTACAGATCCAATAAATTACACATAAAGCAGGAAAGAGAACAAACACCCCTAAAGAGGGTAGGGTTATCCTGTCCCAGCTTGGAATGATCTAGGGTTTCACTATTTAGACAAGCGGTATCATACATCCTAGAAATGGGAAAGCATCCTGTCCTAATTTGAAAGGTACTATAGCTCACTATATGTACAAGGTTGGCTCTATTTTACGGGTTGAAGCCAAGGTGACGTTACCAAAGAGTCCTTTGGGTCATAACCAATAAAGATCCCAAGAAATCAGAAGAGTCAAATAGCCTCTCTTCGGAGTTTGAGAACCTTAGATAGCAAAGCTAGATAGCAGGGCTACATAGCAAAGCTACCCTTTTGACAAATCTCAAAAGGTTACAACACAAGGCCTCTAAAGTATCGTAAAAATAGGCGTAGTGTCACAAAAAGCTTTTATGTAGTGTGTGATTTATGTATAGAATAAATTTGAACCACAATATAATAATTCTAAATCATTTCTGGATAGATAAGTTTGAATTTGTAATATTTTTGAAGTTATTTTCCCAAAATTTTGTACAAAGCAATTCACTAGATTTACATCATAGTAACTTTTTTTTTTATTTTTATTTTTATAAATACAATGTGTTTTGAGAAAATTTTAAATTTAGAGTGATAGACTCATAACTAAAAATATTACTTTATAAATTTTCTTTTACTTTTTTTATTTTTTATTTTATATCATTAATCTTGTTGTCCGGCATTCGTGTTATACATCCACCATTACTACCTTTTTACTTAGCCCACACTACAACATTTTCTTAGTTTAGTGACATTTGAAAGTGCCACAAAACTATTGGTTTAATGACATTTTTTTAGTGTTGTGGCATTTTGAACAAGTGACATTTGTATCCGTGCCACGGTAGATACTAATGCCACGGTAGATACTTGCAAGTGTCACCTGTAACATGCCCGGGGGTTACCCGCGCGCGTTAAACAGTTCGGACTCCCGAGATCTCTTTGATCTAGTTTCACGAGTGCAATGTGAAACGTAGAAGAGAGTTCAGATTTGGAAACTTTTATTGATAATCCATTTTATTGCAATTTTGTCAAAAATGGACTGCGTCATCAGATCTCAGAGTCGCCACCTAATATTTATTTTGGGAAAATTAGGAAACCCATGACTCGTGCCAAGGCCACTGTTCGTCGTAACCAAGGATGCTTGGCTCGGAACCTTAGGTATGAGAGGGGAAGGTCAATAATGAGCACCCCCGGTCACCCGATCAAAAGATCGGCCTCTACTAAACCATGATATGACTTTTTATTTTCTTTATATGTTCATGTTCTGATTATTGAATAAATCCTAAAATTTATTATGTGAAGCATACAAGTATAGACTAGTTTGCTCAAATTGGAACAATTCAATTTTATGTTTGTTTTTCGAAAAGGGTTTGAATTTGCCACTTGACAAAGTGGGCTTAAAGTTTGTGAATTTGCCATTACAAAGTGGGCTTAAAACGTACATTTATTGAATTATTCTAATTCAAACAACAAGCCTTCATCCACAGGCATTCATACAGTTTATCACTTAAGCAATTAGCCTCATGGTAGGATGCTAACACATAGTAAGAAAATCACACACAAATGGCATGCTAAAGCATAAAACTCACAGATTGACCGACGTCCCTCGAACAACTACAAAACAAAGTTAGTAAAATATGCATGATCTTATATACAGAATCCTAATGCAATTCACTCATGAGATGCAGCTAAAGATTCGGCTTCTAAGATATGACATGTGAAACATTGCAAAAGATGTGATAGCGCACAAAATCATGGGATAATCAATTAAAGCATAAAGATGTAAATTTAGCCGAATCTTATGCACGGAGCATGGATGTAAAGCAGGGATATGCATGGCGTGTCAGTTAGAGAAAGCGATTAAAGAATGGGATAGAAAGAAGCGGGGTGGGGGAATTATTACAATCATTTTAAATATTACAAATCTGAGAGAGATGAATAAAATTAAATCCTCACAAACACTCAAAATAAAAATAAAAAAATAAAAATAAAAAATCATTAATTAGCAAAACAAACTATTTGTCTTCACGCCTCAGCCCATGTAAACTCATCTTCAATGGAGGCCCCATCAATGCTCAAACAAAACGGCCCACTGTCAAGCCGGCCCGACCTCTTCAAGACCAAACCACCAGCCAATCAAAAATGCACCAACCCAGCGTGAATGATATCCACATGGGTTATTATTCTACAGCACCAAAATCCCATAACTTTACGGCCCAATAACCATGATTTTTCTCCAAGTGCTGGATTGTTCAACCAGCCCAATAAAATATGAACCTTGGCTTAATCACATAAGGTGGCCCACGGACACTTTGCTCATCCTTGAATTCAGCTCTGTGATGATGATGATGATGATGATGATGATGAGACCAAGAGAAAAGAAAGTGTGGTGCATGTGTGAATCTGTTAACTCACTCTATTTCTCTGTGTGTCTATATCCATTGTAGAGAGAGAGAAAGAGAGAGAGAGAGAGATGTAACCTGGAGGGAGAGAAAGCCGTTGGCCTTGTGCATGTGTGTGAGTATGCTGTGTGTGTCATGCATGTGTGAATGGTGTGGGTGTGTGTGTATTGGGTGCATGGCCTCTCTCTCTTTCTTACCTTTCTCTCCCTAACCTCTCTCTCTCTAAACCGTGTGTGTGTTGAGTGTGTTCTCAGCTCCACAGAGAGAGACCAGAGATGGATGAGTCTGCCGTGTATGAGTCCGCTGTGCTCCCTGTATGTATGGGTTCGCTGGGTGTCTGTTGGGTCTGTTTGTGTGTGTAGCCGTGTGTGAGCAGATCAATCCCGTGGGTGTGTGCATGGGAGGTGTATGGGTGCCGTGAGTGAGAGAGAGGTGTGTGTGTTTGTTGGCTGGGTTTGGTGGTGATGGGTGTGCCTTTAGGTGTGCATGGTACTGTGTGCGTGTGTTGTGAGTGAGTCATGCCGTAAGTGTATCATCCCGTGTGCATCTGAGTGCGAGTGTTGTGCTGTGTCGTGTCTGTCTGTGTTGTCCGTGAGCTGGGTGTGCCTGCCGTGAGGGAGGGAGAGAGGTATATGGGTGGCTGGGTGTGTTGTATGGTGTGTGTTGGGATGGCAGTGGCGGTGTTGAGTGTGTGTTGTGCACATGGGTAGTGTGGTGTGGTGTATGAAGTGTGTGGGTGATGAGTGTGTGGTTACTGGGTTTGTGCTGTATGTGCCGTGTGTGTGTGGGAGAGCCGTGGGTGAGAGAGAGGTGAGACTGAGAGTCTTTTTTTTTTGCCTGTGATGTCCTTCCCTCTCCCTCATTTGCTTCAAACAAGTTGGAAAATATAAAGATTGAGATTTTTTAATGGTTTATCATTCACCATGCCAACAATCATAAAAAATTCACACCCCTGGTGCCCACAGACCTCAATTATTCTGATGTTAGGTGTCTCCTCTCCACCCACTCTCACCTGCCCTCCTCTTTTTTCAATTTCCTCCACCACTTTTCAAACCCACTTCACCGAATTATTTTCCATCCAAAACTTATCAAAACAATGTCCACTCTGTTCCCCTTTGAATCCAGCAAAAACAAAATCCTTTTCCATCCCAAACCCATTATCCTCATCTGACCCTCTCTTTTTCTTTTCTTTATTTTCTTTTTCATTTTTTATTTTTTTTGTTTGTTGTTTTTTTTATTATTTTATAAAAAAAACACCTAAAAATGTGTACACACACATAAAATTAGATAAAAATTATAAAATACTACAAATTGATAAAATATTAGTGATATAAAATAATTTGACCAAAATGGGTGAGGTTTGGGATTAAAGCTTCAATTTGATTTTTCAGCTGAGAAATTCATAGAATGACATATTCTAATTTTTATCAGTGGGTGGTCAAAAGAAAATGCCCAAGTCTTAGGGCCGGTCAAAATGGGGTGTCTACATCACCACACCATCATGGCTAAAAATTTTCAATGACATTTTGATGTCATGGTAGATATTATTTGTGGCACTATCAAGCGCCATTAAAAAAAGAGTTAGTGACACTTATAAGTGTCATTACACCATAAAGACTAAAACCTTTCAATGACACTTTAATGTCATGGTAGGCACTATTCGTGACGCTATCAAGTGTCATTCATGATGATAATTCGTTGTAGAACAATTTGATCCGTTCTTACGGAGACTCGAACCGCTAACCTCCCGCACCATAAACCTTATACACCACACTCTTCCCACTACACCTCTATAGCACCACATGATTATATATGAGGAGAGCCTTCCTCTTATAGAGGTCCCTCTTGTAAAGCTTACACAACAAGCTTGCTTAGAGGGACATCCCTCCATACACGTGTATGGAGGGAAGCAGAGTTGGTGCCAGCTATCACAGCTGGCACAAAATATCTACATAAAGTAGATGAACAGTAATGGTCCTCCCTCTCTCTTACAATATGATCATTCTATATAGGCAATGAGGGAGAGTAAAGGTCAAAAAGAAGGTGGGAGACAAGAATGTGATAGGAGGGCAAATTTTCAAGGTGGTTGCATGGGATACTCCTTTATGGATGCAAACAAAATATCTTTTTGACTATGGAGGATGATTAGGTATAATGGAGGATGAGTGGATGCACTTAAATGGCTCAAAAAATTGGTAAATGGGTTGTCCCAACCGAACCAAAGCCAAGAAAAATGGTCTATTGTTGTTTTGGGCCGAGTCAACAAAATCTGTTTTTAAGCCTGACTTCAAATGGGCATATCTCCCTTATTTGGACTTGGTCTAAGGTGGTTCTTGGGTCTAAATTGAAGCCCCAGAAGTCTACTTTCTAATGGTGGTAGCCTCACATTTAAATTCTAAGTGTACAAACAGAAATGCCTAATTTAGTGAAGACTGCTCATTTCCTTCTTAATGATTTGATGCTCATCCTTTTCCTAAACCAGCTTTCTTTCATCCCCTCCTATTTCCTTCAACTCCAAACCTATAAAGAAGATATTTTTAAATATTTTTCAAAAATTTCACCTCCCTTCCATTTATTTCCACTTTGTCCTTACTCGGTTTACTGAAAAGTGCAATATTTTAATCGAAATGGAAGCCTCGGGACATCGTAGAAACATTTAAAAAAAACATATTTTGAAAAGAGGGTTTTAAGGTCTAAAATAGTTTGGCCAAAAAATGGGTGAAGGTTGGGATTAAAACTTAAATTCCATCTTTCTTACTGAGAATTTTGTGAGAAACACATTCTAATTGTCATCATCGGGTAATCAAAAGAAAGCGCCCGAGTCTTAGGGCCGGTCAAAATGGGGTGTCTACACTGACCCACCGAAAAGTTTCACCCCACCGAAGTTTAACCTATACGATTGCAAAAGAGATTCGACTAGCCACATTCAGCATTATACTCAAGCCAATGACTTTATGGAGAAATAATGGTCCAATCATGTGTCAAATGTTCTTTTCATGCTTAGGAGAGATGGCGCTTTGCTGGTACTATAATTTAGAAGCCCGATTGATCAATGACTGTAAGCAATTGCAGCAGACATTTATCTCACACTTTATCACCAACAGTCACCCACCAAAAGAGGTGGACGTGCTCCTTACAATGAAAAAGGATGGCATAGGGAGCCTGCAAGAGTATGCCAACAAGTACTGGGCGGCATATAACGAGATTGATAACTGCAACGAATAGTTAGCGGTTGCCTCATTGAAGTTAGGATTTCAACCTGCAAGTAAGCTCTAACAATACTTAATGAAAAAGCCACCTACTGACATGGGTAGTTTAATGAGGCGAGTCGAACAACATTGCAAGATCGAAGACAACCTGTAGACACCCTATTTTTGACCGTCTTTACGACTTGGGCGCTACCGATTGATCACTCAATGATGAATGGGTACATTTGTCAAATGCTCAAAATCCTCAGCAGAATGCCTTAGCTTTGAGCCTCAAAACCCTATGAATCCCATGTGCCTTGTTTTGGACCAGAACAATAGTTTTTCAAGTCTAAACATCCTGGGACCTGCAGACCCACTATTGTGGACTGCCGGCCATTAATGTGGTATGTCGTCCACTATTAGTGGCCTGCCGGTCACTTGTGTGTTTTTTCAGATATTTTCTGCTAGCTGTCCCTACAGATGCATACACCATTCTAGCTGTGTTTGTATGGATATTTTCGAGGGTCTCTCATATATTTCTATATATAGATGACCCTCTCTTTGGTTGCCAAGGTTAGAAAACATTAGGAGTGAGAAAATATTTTTGAAGAGCAAATTTTGGAAAATTCCTCTTTCTACAATTCTCTCTCTCTCTCTTACAACTTGCATAGCCTTTGTCTAAACACTCTAAACCAAACCTAAAGAGCTTCTTGCTAAGGTGATTTGAGCTTGAATTTGAGCTTTTGAGGCACTTGAGATTATGAAATTGGTGGTTTGTAACTCAAAGAAGCATTCCTCTTCAAGAGGTATACCTTCTAGTCCTTTTGTACCATCTCTACACTACTTGTTCTCCATCTTTTTTTGCTGCTTTTGAGTTGTTTATTACCTGTATTTTTGGGCTGAAAGTTGTGGTTTAAGGCCATTAAAGATAGAGGGGTTGATAACCCTTCTTCGAACATTGCTTCTAAGGTCTTTGCCCTTGTGCTTTCCACCTTTTCATCAATTTTTTTTGAGCTTTTTACCACTAATTTTTAGAGGTTTTTCGGAGGCAAAAATCACGTTTTGAAGTCCCAAAAGTGGAGGGGTTGGCCTCCCCTCCTTGTTCTTGTGTGCTAGTTTTAATTCCTCAATATTTTAGCTAGTTGTTGTACTTGTTTTTGTCTTCATTCCAGCACTTTTTTGGACTACTTTAGGACTATTTTTTTGTGTTAGCTTCATTCATGCTTTATATAGTATGCTTGTAGTGTAATGGTCCTCATAGGCTTGGTGGTTTAGGCCTTAGCCACCAACCTATTTGAGTTGATAGTGTTTATTTCTTGCTTTCCATACTTGTATTCATCTTTAATCACCTCTGCAGCCTCCTTTCTTTCTTGGCTTTTTCTTTACTTTGAAAGTTGTTTCAAATTACTTGCTTGTTTAAGCTTGAGATAGAGGTATCTTGCTTAATGGTTTAATCCCTATAGGGGTTCATTACCAACGGCATGGTGTCTTTCTCATGCCCCAAAAAAACTCTTTGTTTGATGCTCCTTTCTATTAGAAGACTTAAAGAACATTTTTGGACTCAATGAATTAAGGAATGGAAGGTAATTAAAATGAAGTAATAAAATTAGGACTAAAAGTGATGCAAGATAATAAAATCAACTTGGGTTCAATCATATGTTAATTGAACCCATTGAGTCTTGAGTCGTTTCATACTTGTTAGTGATGTAAACGGTTTAAGGGTTAATGTCAACCACTTCCCTTGATCAATCCATGATAGGAAGGGGGTTTTGAGAGTCTTTAAATTGTGCATTTATTGAATTGTGTCCCTTGATTCATAAGTCATCACGTAATGAAATTGCGTCAATTGATGACTTGCGAATCAAGCCTACCTCTCCTTTGACCTATTTGATGATAAGGAGAGGCAAGGTGGACAAACATCCTCTGAGAATACTTTGGTTTGTGCTCTGTTTATCCTCTGTTGCTGCAGGAAAGGATCAACACTAGTGGCCGGAAGACCTCTTTTTCTGGACGACAACCCACTATTAGTGGCCTGCCAGCCACTACTTTTGGGTTGCCGGCCACTTTTTCTAGGTAGGCAGTCCTTTTTTTCCAATAGAACAGAGTAGAGGTTAAGGTTAAAAACAATGCATTTTTCCAACTGTGTAACAGAGGCATTCCGGTAGCAAAACGAAAAGTATTATCGGGTGGAAATTCACATCCATGCATGAGACATCCCTTAATTCTCAGAATCTGTCAAGATGATGTTGTAATAGTAGTATGTGGTGCTTAGAGTAGTGAGTTTGTAATTAATTAGTTAGAATAGCTAATTAGTTTTGGTGTTGTACTTATTTAATTAGTTAGAATAATTAGTTAATTTGTTGTTGTAATAATTAGTTAAGTAGGTTAGCTAACTTATTCATTTTGATTTGTAATAGTTAGTTAATTAGGTAATTAATTAGCTAGTCCATTCATTCGGACCCTCTTGTGCGAAGGCCAAGATTGTAATAATGTGTATGTCTTCCAACCCCACATTTTTCCCCCTTTTATTTACTTGCTTATGATGGGTAGTTTAGAACATCATGTTTCTTTTAGCATCTTCCATGTTTGCATTCACTTGTCTCGTATGCATCGAGGCTCGGTTCATCATTCTAACAAAGAATTGTCGTTTAAAATACTTCGTTGAATACGTGTTTAA